TAGTAGTAGTAGTAGTAGTAGTAGTAGTAGTAGTAGTAGTAGTAGTAGTAGTAGTAGTAGTAGTAGTAGTAGTAGTATTGTTATTATATTTTTTCATTTTCCATTTAGTAAAAGGCACATGTTCATTTTTTTAGTTTAATGTTCAAAGAATATCAATAATTTCACATTCAATGATGGAAAATAGGGGAAATGAATATGCTGCTGATTATCTCATTTAAGAGAGTAATTTCATTTTGAAAGCAAGATGAGATGTTCAATTCTCCCCAATCAGACACCAGTCTATGTTCTATTTGACTAATGGATATTACTGACCTCCTCTTGTGTAGTCAAAGTACTTCCTTAAGGCTGTACTATTCTCACATAATCATATCCTTTTTTAACACATTAAATTCTCCACTGGTGTTAAGTCATTGCCTCGGGCAGAGAAAAAGGATAAAAAAACACTGAATGAACAAACAGGGGAGATGTGTTTGAGATAGGGAGTCAGGAAGACTAAAAAGAGCAAGAAACTAACTGAAGTGGGGATGCCGTGACACTGTCACTATAAGTACTAATGAAACACATCGCTTATCCAGGGAGGTTCTCTCATTTTCTAGCTGACAGCAATTAGAGAGGGGCTCGTTAAAGTGTTACCCTCATTAGGTTACGGACCTCTCACTGTAGCTGAGACAGTCTGAATGTATCTGAACTATCGGGCCAGATCCAATAGTGGTGGCTGCCCACAACGACTGCTGATGCGACCATATGCCACAGTAATTACTGAACTTTGGTCTTTGGTTTATAGGAGCTTCTCATTCTGTTCTGCTTGTTTTAGTTAGGTTAATTAACTAATCTTCAGATTACTCACCTGTTTAAGCAGGCCTGCAGTGCAGTTAGAGATGCCAGTGAACCTCCACAAGGTTGTCAATCCCAACTATAGCCGAAAGCACGAAGAGTATTGAACTGAAAACAGGGCTGAGCAGTCTTCTACAGTTTAGCCTGCAGCACATCAGTGTAAAAACTCCAGTTTTTGCTCCTCTGAGTCCGTGTTTAGTCTTTTCTGTCTGCAAAAACTCATTCAAGTTCAGGTTTTGTGCATACTTTTAAGATCTGATTCTAACTAAGAGAAAATAAGGTCCAGGTGTGGTCTAGACCCATCTCAAAGAACGGGTCAGTTCATCAGCGTTTGACAGTGTTGTGTGATTTAGCTTTAATTAATAAAGTGCAAATCACACCATGTCAGAGTTATATCAAACCCCAAACCCACTTAAAGAGTGTTTTCCTCTGACTTTTCTGTCAAGTCAGTCATAATGTCCATTCTGCTTGCTGCTGGAGTTTAATATTCTATAGATCCAAAATCCCTTTGATGCTCAGCCATTCATTTTCTGTCATTTTGGCTCCGTTTTTACCATCCACTTAGTGTCTCTGTATCTTGATGCTTCCCCAGACAAAGTGAAGCAAATTTTTCTTCCATTTTCAATGTTGCAAATGACTTCCTTCTAACATTTCCATTTCCCATTTATTTTGATGTTTGAAAGTGAAAATGCCCTTCCATTGCATGACAAAAATGGCCCAACTGTCACCAGGTCTTGATTGGCCCATCCAATCCGGTCCARAGGTGTGAACCAGGATAAGCACTTGAAAGAAAAACGGATTTCTTAGGTTCATAACACCATAATATCCATAGAAACAAAGTAATGGGTGCAGGAAACAGGAGATGCAGGGAGATGAGCGAGAGGGCCTTGTTTTTTCTTCTTTTTTATCTTRAGTTTTCACCTGCTTCATCCCTCTGGTGGTGGTGATTATTTTCCACATCTGGCAGAACAGCATCAAGGGTCTGGAAAAAAGGACGGAAACAACATCAAGGTTTGTATACAGGCTACAAAAAATCAGCTTATTTCATGTGGAGAGGAAGAAGAGCAAAAGCACATCTGTGTTAAAAAGGGAATATTTAGAACAGGAAGGTAGGGGGGAAATTAGGAATCTGGAGTAGAACATTGGGTGACACAGGTTTATAAAAAACTAGGACTGGGTAAGAAAAAAATACGCAAATAACTAAAAAAAAACAAACTTAAGTCATGTAAGGTCTAAAAAATTGTGTATTAAAATGCCCAYACTTTGACCTTTTAAAGCACGCTAAAGCTTCAACACTTTTTTTTATCCTAGCCAATGTTTTGATTCATATAAATCCCTGGAGACATTATTTAATTTATTTTCTTTTTTTTTTCTTGATTATGGTTGCTCTCAACCATTATCAAGTTAATGGAGTTTATCCTTGAATGAAACTTTGATACTCTTTGAGACTTTCCCAATGCCTGAAGGAAGACGGAGCAGCAAAACTACACRAACTCCTATACAAGAGTTTTGCAACAGAAAGGTTTAAATGTGATATTTTCCAACATCAACCTTGGCTTGAAGCAAGACGTTTGAAAAGGACAACACTGACAATTCAGTGTTTTTTAGACATTCTGGGCCAAAATTCCAAACGTCACACAAAACAAAAACTGATAGACTAGTTTCCATTCAGCACACAAATAATAAAATGTAATTGAAATGTTTTAGAATGATTGCTGCCTTGTTATAGATAAATGCAAGGATAAGTGTGTTGAAAGCAGAGAAGTGGTGTAGCAGCAGGTTGTCCTGACAACATTCTGTGTTTTTTTAGGAAACCTGTCACCAGTGGAACATTTCAGGTGAATTTACTGTATGTAMTGTTACTGGATATTGTTTAGGTGAAAGAATGGAGCCTCAAAGTCTAGTCATCCGTTGCAACCACCGCATATTTTCACTGTTTTACTCCAATCTCTTCTTCTTCTCCTTTCTGCCATATGGCAGTGGATTATAGAAGATTGAAGGACTGTGAGAGGTGAAGGTGGTATGGGAGGCTGATAAAACAGTGAGTGGTAAAAGAAAAAAAAACACAAAAAAATAAAAGAAAAGAACTGACCTGATTAAATAGCAACACAAGATAAGGGTCAGTTGGCAGCATGCTGCACAGGAAAGAGGCAGGATTAGTTGAGTGCAAGTCAGGAGGAGCAATAAGGGAATAGAAGACTTAGGGGAGGAAACTATCTATGGTGTGCAAGTCATTACTCTTTAAGTGTAGTGTTGGCAGGATATCTTTGTGAGGCCAAAAGACCCTCAGATCTTAAAGTTCCTCCATTCGACAGCACGAGGCCGCCTGTCAKCTGCTGCTGGAGGCATCCAAAAGTCACAGACAGAAGAAAAACGGAGAAGGAAACGAAGCAAAAGGAAGCAAAGAGACATGGAGAGAAATAATAAGCAACAGTGAAAAACAGTGACTTGAATACAGCTGAACAGTGCACAAACAAATGTGGGAAGAGGAAGAGAGAGGAAACGTCAGGGCAGCCAGAAAACTGAGGAAGAACTGGGAGGAAGCACGTCGTGGTGAGCTTTGGAAAGGCGGGAGGAGGTGGGGGAAAGTTKGCAATACTGAGAGCAGAATTCACAGAGACAGGTGGCAGTGAAGAATGAGGTTGGGCATAYGAGATGACAATGAAGGGAGTGATGATAGATTAAAATACAAGGAGGACAGACAGGCTACAGGGTCACGGAGGGGCCAGGGGAAGAACACGCACACTTACACTTCACACACACGCACTCACATTCTTTGGTTGGGTTGGGCTATTTTTTTTTTCCTATTCTGCCTAACCTTGTAGAAACATCTGCACTAGCTCAGGGTAGTTAAACTCATACATACATGCACAGACCTTCAGGGTTTTATTAATTGACCCTGATGGTACACGTCCTGATTTTAGACAAACAGATTTACCTTATTTTATAGATGTAAATGTCACCATCATATTTGCCTTATAGTTAACCAAGATTGATATATTTATCATGTATTCCTAATGCAGATGGTGTTTGGGTTTCAACCTACTGAGGTTTTCTCCCCAGACAACGGACAATATTTAGCTCTTCTTGAAATAGCATTTCTCTGAATGATCATGTGTATGGGTTAATTACTTTTAAAAAAAAATAATAAACATGTATGACAACAATCCACTTTCATCTTGGTTCCCCTCATGGATAGTTTGTTCAGCACTAATGCAACTTTCCTCAAGCTAAGGCTGTTGAAATACATGCAACAGGTAAGACATTATTTGGGTTGCACTTTATTATTCCTACAACATATTTAGTCTTACTTAAGCATATAAAAATGGTTATTTAAGCATGAAAACGTCAWTGAGTAAGGATGAGTCCTACTTAATAAGATATAAATGAACACATCAATGATTTATCCATAAAGTCTAATAATTTCCAAAACCAACATAACCAATGCTTATTCATGATTAATAACTAACGAATTTACCATTCTATATGCTGTRTGTATACAGTATGTATATAAATATTCATATAAATGTACTTGCACACTAACATCAGCATCAGTTATTGCCTGAGTTATGGACATGATGTTTGCTAAGGTCGCTGAGCTGTGTCGGTCATCTTGAATTACAGTAGATTGACTCAAAAAGTCAATGATTTGTATGTGTTTATCCAATGAAGACTTTCTGAAAAATTCATTTATCCACAAGASAAAAAGTACTCAGGTTAATGCTTAATGTCAACATTTCAAGCAAAAAATAAATAAATAAATAAAATAAAAATAAAAAMCCACAATCAGCTACTAGAACATGGTCATTTAGAACAATGGGGCTCATGCAAGAACCGTTCGTTCACACAGATTTGTTCTTAAGTTGTGCGTACGAGTGATTTAGGAGAATTTGTGGCATTCACCAATGTTTTCGTATTCTAAGATTTTTTCAGATACGAACAAAATTCACGAGTGGTCCAGATCTGTTGTATATTTTACGAGCAGTCAGTCTGCTGTTATCCAGACGGGTTTTCCTCCCTAATAACTTTACATTTCGTTAGTTTGAAGATATTTTGAGTTGAAAATAAATTACACTCTATAATTATGTTGACAATAGGTTATTCTGCTTGAATTAGAGTTATAATTTTAAATGTAATAATTTAGACTAACAATATAAATTCTACGTCTSGCTGGCTTATCCAGGATCGGGTCGTGGGGGGCAGCAGGAGACCCCGCTCTCCCCAGCGACACCTTCCAGCTCGTCCTGGGGGACACCGAGACGTTCCCAGACCAGAGGGGATACATAATCCCTCCAGTGAGTCCTGGATTTTCTCCAAAGTGCCAGACTTATTTTGAAAACATTTTAAAATGCTTATTTCAGAACTGCATCTGAGACCACTTGAGACCGCGCGCGGGGGTGGGGTGGGGGGTGCACACGGTGCGCGACTGTGTGGCTTCTGAATAAATGAAAATGATTTAACATAGTTGTTTATACTTTTAGCAGCTCCTTTTATTCCACAGCTGACCTGCTAAAAATGACAGATTTTCTTTTCTGGATCTCTGACAGACGGACTTCAATCTCTGAACTCGTAAAGTTTTTCTTTTTAGTTTTCACTGTCATTTTCATGAATGGACACTTCCTTGTATCTGAGGCAGGAAACACAGACTTATACGGTGTTTTTGGGGAGGTAATTATGCTAATCTCCTCTCGCGTGCACGAGCAGCTGGATAGAACAGGTGTAAATTACGCAGCTCATTTACACACTTTTCCTGAAGATAGAAGAGTTTGTTGAATCTGACATGACATGTTCGTATGAACCCTTTGTATGAACAAAAGTAAGAGAAATTTAGGAAAAGAATACGAACGTTCTTGCATGAGGCCCAGTGTCTGTTAAACTGACAGAGTTAAAGCCAGTCTTGGGTTTGTTAATGTTGGCTCCTGAATGCCTGTCTGACCTCCTGCAGCCCTATGTGCCCTCCATATCTCTTAGATCCAGTGATCATTTGCTCTTGGCTGTCCCGCGGTCCAGACTGGTCCACAGAGGTGACCGAGCCTTTTCAGTTGTGGCTCCTAAACTATGGAACCAGCTGCCCCTTCATGTCAGACAGGCCTCAACTCTTGGAGTTTTTAAATCTCTTCTTAAAACACATCTGTTTTCAAAAGCTTTTAATGTAGTATGAGCGTTGTTTTCCCTATTTATTTGGTCTGTTTTTATGGTTTTATCATTATTTGTGTTCTGTCAGTAATGCTTTGTTTTCAGTTTGCAGTATGTGAAGCACTTTGGCCAACGGCAGTTGTTTTTAAATGTGCTATATAAATAAAGTTGACKTGACTTGACAGTCTTGGGTTTGTTAATGTCACTTAGCTGTGGTGGCCATCTTGAATTAAGCTAAATTCTAATTAGCTACAGGTATTCACTCATTACATCCTAAGGAATTCCTTCAGATTTTTCCCGCAGCTCATGAGGTATTTTGCTAACCGATAAACAAACAAAAACGGACCAACCTTTACCTCGAATCATTTGCCTTCAGCAGCGCCTGACAAAACCTAACCTGCTCCAGACAGTTTGGGCTCCCCATTTAGTGCAACAGTTTCAATTTAATGTTCATGAAAATTTCATGTGAAGCAGTTTAGGTTCAACTGAAACGGCAGAGAGCTCTGCTTTTTTCAATTTAAAATCTACTTGATTAAAAACATTGGGAATGGATTTTTTTCTTATGATTAGTTCAATTTCTGATAGACACCTATTTTATCAATTGTAATGATTTACTTTAAACAGTAAGATAATTACTGGGGGGGGGGGCAGATAATGGATCAATTCTGACATATGTGTGGTAAACTCTACATACCTGTAAATTAATATATTCAAATCTGGGAATTTAATCGATCTCTTGAGCATAATTTGGTCTCTTATTTAAGCATTTTACACCGTGTATTTAAGAAAATAAGCTATTTTTTACCAACAAAATAACTCAACTTATGAATATACAAATTAAGAACAACAAAAAAAGTTTAGAAATTAAAAACAAATGACTGCTTTATGTTTGATTTAATTTTTCTTTACTCAGTCTCTTAGGAGCAAAACGACAGCRGCTTTTTCTCGGATCAGATCAATGTTGTCTTTTTCTGCAATGCAGCAATCGGTGAAACACATCACAGACACAGTTACGCCCCGAGGAACCCAAGCAGCCTTTGTATAAAGGCAGTAGTTTTGTTGCTCGCTGCAGGTTGCCCTCTAAGTGCAAATGATCCTGGAATCAAAGGGTGGAAACAAAGAACCTAAAAGGCCAATGGTAGTGCCTTATTTCCCCCGTTYCCTGGCCGAAGAGAAAACATTACACTAACTGGTTTGTGTGTCTTTCATGTCTGGGATACTCTTTGGAATCTCCCGGATGTCACTGTTCAGTCATTTAAGGCTGAGACAAGGTTAGGTTTGTTAATTAAGTCTGTAGGGGTAATATGAGTTTGAGCATATGGCGGCACCTCACCGCTGAAGAGGAAGAAGAGGAAACTCTTCACTACACATTGCAAACTCTCTGTCTTGTTACATACGGCTCTAATGAGCTTTCCCCGACTTTCCTCCTTTGTAACTCCACTGTGGCCTACAACCTCAAACTGAGCTCACAAACTCAGCTATCTGTAATAAATTACCCCTTAATCAGAGATAAGAACAAAATTAAGTCAAATGTTTAAAGCCAATTATGATCAAGCGTGGGCAATTCAATAGTGTGACATTTAAAAWAAAGTCTAAACTTTCTCCAGTTCCTCTTTCCCACAGTAATTACTGACTGCGATGTGAACAATGTTGAATACATTCAATTGAGATACAAACAGTGTAGGAACTTTGAAGGCTTGCAAAGTTCATAACGGGAGAAACCTTTCCTTGAACTTGCTTGGCTGAGCTTCTTTAATGCTCTTCATATCGTTTGTTCTCTCGCCGCTATCACCAGGAGGCTCAATAACACCTCATTTCAACTCATTCACAGAGGGCAATTGAATGACATTATCAACAGCTGATAAAGTATTTCGGCTCAGCTGTTTAAGCCACTCATGTGAAAAGGTGTCTCCATTTATTCGTTCCAATAAAACCCCTCTTTTTTCCTGAGTGGATTAGTGTTGAAGGGGAAGAACACCGGTGCAGGGTTAATGCAGAAAAGATATATCTGGAAATAATTTTCACATGTTCTTATATGAACACAGCACTGTTCAGCATTTCAAGCGAACTTGGTGAGCCTGGGAGGTCATGTGGGAAATTTGAATCAGGGCAAGAGGGTCTGGTTACATAAAATGAAAGTTTGATCTAACAGCCTTTGCTGACAGAGAGTAAGGCAGCTGCTTCAGGATTCATATCAGGAAGTTTGTGACAATTGTGCACAACTGTAATTTGCATTGAATGCTGATTCTGCACAAACATTTTATTTTCATTTTGATTTTTTTTTAGAAATAAACTACTTTACTGTAATACTTTTTGTGTTTTTAACATTTCWTCAATTAGTTAAATCTGAGTTAGTGTGATATAAGTTGTTCTTTGTAATTTTTATAAAGTTTTAATTATTTAAGCTAATTTACAAACATTGAAATAGACTGAGATAGTTTCAGTTCTTTCAGCAATACTKTTTTCCAAAATCTGTTTTGTAAAATTATCCTTGCTCTGTTTTTGTCTTCTTATGCTCCTTCTAGCTTTTAGCTACAGAGTGGTTAACTTTAGCCTTTGATGTCAGTTTTGCTACAGTTATCTTTTATCTACTAATTTGCTAATCTTACATGTTAATTATGATTATAATATTTTAGCTACTGTTTTGTTTATTCAGATTTTAGCTACTGTTTTGCTAACATTAGGTTTTTGCTTTAATTTAGCTAATTTAGGCTTTATCTTACAGCTCTGTTCATTTTAGCTACTTTTCTGCTCATTGTAGCTTTTACCTACTGTACTGTTTTATTTTGTATGTGTGTGTGTGTGTGTGTTTTATGGTTTTTGTTACTTTTAAGTTAGGTTATGTTTTGGTTGTTTTAATTTTAACAAATGAGTTGCAGCTTCTCTAACAACATTCAGCACAGTTACTCAGCATTTACTCTGCAATTTTGCAAGAAAAAAAATACAGTTTTTTCAAGTTTTGTTTTCGTTACCCATAACCTAAGCCATGGACTTCATGGTTACATTGTCATGAAGTTGTTTTGACAGCTCACCACTAGCTTTCAAACAGCTATATTGAGCTGACTGAAACCTCATTAGAACTTTTTTGTCAGCAGTACAGACGTTGTGTTTTGAATCTCAAGGTGTCAGAAAGACATGACTCATCATTCATCTCAGCTGCACTGTCTAAGGCCACACATTTGTTTTGTTGTGATTTTATTGATGTATGTCTTGGTTTGTTTTCCATTTGTCAAAGTCAAAATTTTCAACCAAACATGATCAATCATATGTCAAAAAGTAAATTTTAATTTAAACAATCTGTCCAAAGCTTTTGTTTCTGACATGCTGACAGTTTTTTGCAAACATTACATTTCAGTGGCGAAGGAAGAGCTTTGATTATGTTCATTGCTTCTTTGAATAACATATTGTTATCTTGCATTATTGTAATATAAAAATCTGATTTCTAAAAAGTCTGATATGTTTTTGCATCTCACTGCTATTATTGTCAAAAAATGTTATCAAAGAGTCAAAAAGAAGTCGTGATACACTGTCACTGGTTTTAGGAGGAAAATATTTTTACAACCTTGAAATGATTTTTATCCTGCATGGTTGGCCTTTTGTTGTAAACACTGGGATTTTGTGTGGCAACTTAATGGATATGACAGAAACATTCACCTAAGAAGTGTTCTGCTGTTAAGAAGTTAACCCTTGTGATCTGCTGGAGCACAAAATAAGTGTGATTCTGTTTGCAAGCTTTTGTTGAAAGAGTTTTTCAAACAGAACAAACCTTTAAAGATTAAAAAAAGTATTCAAACCTTCCAAATAAAATTAGGAAAATACACTTCTACAGACAGARGGTTCTCTCACCTTTTGTCTCTTTTAATATATTTTAAGAGCCCAAGGATGGTGTCTTTCTTTTTTCATTCATTCTTTCACACTCACACAGTTTCTCACTGTTCTTCGCTCCATTATTATCTCGCTCAATTTCACACTCTCTCATTGCACATTGTCTATTTGTCTTCCTACATCCCTTTCTGTTTGACTTTGCCTTCTTTGTGTACCTTCTTTGTATGTCTCCACCCACTTCTTTTTTGTCAAATGCTTTCACCCCTCTGAAATGCTCCCTTCCACGCTTGGCTTCCTTGNCCCCATTTCTGTCTCTCTACCTGCCAGTTCCTTGGGAGATGAGGGCTCTTTGGCGACAGACGGCGGCCTGATTTTCATCTCAATGGCAACCCTGGAAGAGAAGCGGGCCTTGGTTGGTGAGAGCAGCTCCTCATTAGACAAGGAGTCAGTCTTTGCCATGGCGAACTGTCCACTACTTTCCTCTTCGACCAGTGCCACTGTGTCTTTTACGGGGTTGCTGGGCGACATGGCCCTGGATGGCAAAAGCGCCTGTTCGTCCTGATTATCTGTCATCTTTGAAGCTGAATGAGGCAGGACTTGTACCTGACTGCCTCCTTGTCCATTGCTCTGTGGTCTTGGCACTGCCGCAGCAATGGTGGCTTTTCCGTGGCCTGTGCCTTGGTGGCTGTACACCTTGTACCGAATCATTAAAATGATGATGAAAACGAGCACGGACGCGACGATAATCCCTCCGATGATGATGATCATAGTTCCGCCCAAGAAGTGGCTGTGAAGAGCTTGACATTGGCTGAACTCTGTGTCGGTGGTGAAGGACAGACAGCCTAAAGGACGCGTGGCAGTTAGSGATGTGATGACGTCGTCAAAAACAGCCAGGACACAAAGATCATAGCTGCGCCCGGCCGCAAGGTCTCGAACCAGGAAGTCGTTGCTGCTGGATGGAATCATCCTGCCAAGACAAAGACAAAAATACATAAAAATACCAGTATCAGTACAGGGATTCTAAAAACAACCCACACACAACAAAATACTACAGTTTGAATTTGTAATAGAAAGAGGAACAGCATAGGCTATTCAGTATTCATTGAAGCCAGCATCAATGCATTTATCAATGAAGAAACAGTTACTCAGATTTTGATTTAGTAACAAAAAAGTAGATAGCTAAAATGACATTATTTACTCTTGATAAAGTACATATTAAATCATGATAAAAGACTTTCAATTAACAGTATTCAAGGACTATTGTAAGATAAATTATCATAATTCTAGACATACTCTTTTTTCAGGTTTATATATCCCATGTGTGGCACGATTGTGACAAAAACAAATAGTGTATGCTTTCAGCATTCAGATGAAGTGTACTTCATTCTTTCACAAATAAGAGAGAGAGAGAAAAACTATACAATTTTTTTATACTCCTATCTCTGCAACAGGCATTTTGTTTTGATGTTTTGGCAATTTTAGTAAAAAAAATGCTGTCAAATCACCTGTAGGTGTGTGAATTGAAGGACATCTTTGTCATATCAAAGGATGTGGACATAGGATAAACACAGGCAATTATGTATAACAGAAAATTTGCTAAAAGACAAATAGTTTTCAGCCAAGTTTATTTCCCAAATAAAATAAAATAGTGAAAAATGTGACATTGAAGTTGTAATAGACAGCAACATTGGATATTATGACAGGGRAAAACTATGTTAAATTTTAATGCACTGTCTCTCATTTGGTCAGAACCTATTTCCATTTCTAAATTTCAAACATCTTTACAAAAGTTGGGAGGCTTCGTTAAACACCAATATTGGCAAAGTGGCAATTTGATCAATCATAAACTTATTGACAGTCTGACTTCTTTTCTCCATGGTAATGGGTAAGTCTAAACAAAACAACATACAAAACAATGCACACAAATAAAACAAAAATCAAATACGTCTTTATTAAGAACCAATAACACAGATTAAGACAAAAGCAAACAATGATGTCATTAGATTGCCTGACATTCTCAGTGGAACTGCTCTGATTTCTTTTCATCAAGCACCACACAGACCTGGAATAGAATCAGGTTGACAGCTTTACAGATCTCTTGTCATTGAATCTGTTTAAACACGCAGCCAAAGTGTCATTCAGGACAGCAGTGACTCAGCGTGAGGCGCCTGGTCCTGTTTGATTTGGTGAGTAAATACAATTAAAAGGCTAGATGACTGTTTGATCCTTTTTCCACTTCTGCAGATTTGATAGGTTTTAATTATTCCGGAGTTTTATTTTGTCATGGCTGCAATTTTACTATCCTCCACCAGAAAATGTGGGTGTTCATTTAATTGTCTGTCTATCTATACTTCGTCATTTATTTGTTTTTAATTTTTACTATTTCTGAGTTTGTCATCAGCCTTTCCTTTTACTAGGTGCTCGTTTTTGTCATCCTTTGTTGTACATTACTTTTAAAGCATAAATATCTCTGTTTTTAGCTCAACTGTCATGTAGCTTTATCTTCCCTCCCTTGACCCAAGCTGAGCTGATGTGTAACACTGTTCATTCATCACTACATTACCACCCATCAAATCGACAAGGCATGTAACAGAAAATGTCTTAAGACTTCAGATGCCTTTAAGTGCTGTCTTGAATTCTATTGTGTGTTAAAATATGAAAGCCGCCTCAGTGACACCCACTCTGTCATTATATGTTTCCATGCGGAGCTGCTCGAGGCACAACAGTCACCTCACTGGTTTTATTTCCCCGCAGAGCTGAAATTCATTATTCTCTGATCTGACAAACACTTACACAAACCTATTCCTCACGACAGCCCCAACCATCCGTCTTTGATTAAACAATYCCGATTCTTCCCATTGTTAACCTGTTTCTCTGCCTGTCAGAAGGTAAATACTGTAGATCCATTTTTTTCTGCAGCTTTCCTGCTAGATTATGTAGGAAAGATCACCTTGGTAAAGAGAAGTGATACTTTCTACATGCTTTCCTTTCATTTTCCCTTTTCTTTTATTTCTGCTTCCTCTGTGGGTCYTAAGTACAGTATATCTAGGGGAATTGCCAAACACCCATATGTCATTTGCTCCATTTGATCTAACTCATATTTCCCTTCTGCATCATTCATGTGTCCCTTAAAGTACTGTAAATTTTCTTCACYATCCTTCCCATCCTCATCCCCTACATTTATTCTCACCTCTCAAAAGGAGACAGACAGGRTTTACAATAAAGCCCAATGTGAAACTGGCATGGAAGGAATGTCTGTGTGTGGATTTGTATTTATGTATTCGTTTGCAAAAGCCTGTGGGCGGCATKGTAGTGGCTGGCTCAGTCTCAGAGCCAAGCCTATTGATGGCACCGAACCTCCACCAGGAAGTTTAACTTGGCAGATAGCTATGTTTGCTTTTTCTCTGTGTGCGTGTGTGACCTTGTGTGATTGTGAATTGATGTGAAAGAATGGCTGGACTGAATTCCTGATAGCAATCGAACCAGAAAGCCTTAACAGCCATCATGTCTTCCTTTAGGGCAACAACTTGAAGTGATTGCAGAACTGAGCTGGGGTTTCCCAAAAAAAAATAAAAAAGAAGAAAAGAACATGCCTCTTATTCAAGTTTGGTGGGTCTTAATAAGAAGTCGTGCATTATTACCTTTTCTATCACCTTTGCAGCATAACAAATAAAATAAAATGAATTTTCAATTGATGACTGGGGCTTCAAGGGTCTTTTGATAAAATCTGCATAGTCCATTTTAATTAGGAAAACCCTTTTTAAGACAGTTCTATRAAGGGGGTTTTCTTATGCCAGTGGTCACCGTTTTGGTGTTGCACAAACACTTGCTGTGTTTCTCTTGATGCAAAGTGAGGTGTGTAAAGGTGTCCTCAGGAGGTGAACAGTCTGACTCAAAACACATTATGTAAAAGTCGTGACAGATTATATTTAAATTGCCATGGAGACAGAATGAAGCAAGTGTGAGTATTTGTGAAAATATCAACTTCAGTGCCAACCTTCACAGTAACAATGGAGTTGTTTCTGGTAATGAGGGTCATATAAAAAAAGAAAAAAATGTGAGAAAATCAATCTGAATCTAAACTATTATGTTTTAATAGTGAATGCCAGGGAAAGTCATTGTGTGCATTTTATAGCATTTAGCCTGTAATAAAGGATAGTTTACTTCACATTTTCTATTATTTTTGCATCACTGACAAATTGATTGTTTTTGACTGACATCACAACAACCTCTGTGAGGACATATGCATAATTTTCCACTGTGTGTTTGGTAAAATACACTTACTAACATAAAAACGAATAGAAAATTCATGATTGCATTGCAATGGTTACAATATCAAATAAAAATGGATAGCAGAGTTGGCAGTAAAATCATGCCAGTGGAGTATGCCCCCCACCACCAGGCCTGGATCCAAGCAGCGATTTTGTGTGAAATTAGGTCACACAGCCATTGTGTACTCTCCTCCTGCAAGGTGGCCCACAGCTGTTACAACTGGTTTTCAAGRGCCAGCAAATAAGCACTGCAGGTCTCTTAGCTGATATATCAGCAGAACCCACACTTGCTCATTTGGAGAAAAATGGGGAACCAGGCTAGTTATAGACGGTCTTCGGCATAACTCGGGCAGTTCAGAGACATACATGCTGTGCGTGGACAGGTGTTGTCTCGCTGAAACCTGTTCTGAAATACTCTGTTTATTCACACCATGAGGTAAGAAGTAATATCAGTGTGCTTCTTCACAACATKGGCAGGATTTGGTCATCTCTTCTTGGTGCCACCATGTGTTCATACAATAGTCAYACACTGTAATGTCACTAATAATGATGCATCACGTCATTTGTCCATTATCTCCTGGGTATGACACCACTACAAATGCAACAGTCTCAAATCAAATATTATTAGCAGTCTATAAACCTGTAGTCTGGTTGATGCCAGTTGCTGAGTCATTAGCAGGATGACACATGATGACCCAGATGTAGATTCTATGAGATTCGGTCAGACTTGGATCACAATATGACAATTTTGCTCTGTAATCATCTGTTTTGACTGACCAGGACCTTCACCATGTGTGGGTGCTTCACATATTCATTAGTTCCAACAACAAGCTACTGTGACACCTGTACACACCACTTGCCGGATAGTTGCACAATAAAACCTTGCGTCCTCATGCAAACCCACAATGTGACCCTTGATAATCTTTGCTGCGTGCTGATGATGCTGACCAACACATCTAAAGCCCTATTCTGATGGAATTGGTTATAGGGACCACATGTTATTAGTAGCATTCTGGCTGACGCTGAGCACAGAGCTGTGGCCGTAGTGCAGCACAAGCTCGGTTACAGTCGCGCTTTGGATTCTCGCGTTGGATGACGGGCACTCTCGCCARTGGTGGAGGTGTTTATACTTGGCACTTGCGTTGCAGTATTCTCCAAAAGGGCATGTGGCAGAACACATTATAAACTATGAAATGTTGTAAATAGGAGAGCAAAACCTTGACAAACAAACTGGTTGAATGGTTTGTGCAGCCTTTGAGGAGCCCTTTTGGCATGCACACCCTCGCAATACATCAACTCATCAGTCTTCAATCTCATATCCAAGAGATGTCCGGATGATGCAAAATCTCAGACTTTGGTTGTCCTGTGTGAATGTGCCACATAAAAAAACAGACATTAGGGAGTAATTTATTWATTACATGGGGTCCCCAGATAATGCTYATCCCATGCAAATWGGGCTTAAGAAGTATTCTTTGTTTCACAGCTGCCACCACCTTTGCCTTCTGGTGAATATTCCAGATGTGCCAGCACCTRCCAAACCAAATAATTTACACATTCATTGCTGGTGGACATAACCAACCTACATCCATGTCCAACCGTTCTCTTTTGGTTTTCAGCATTTATTTCACAATTAGCACATAAGCACAGGAATAAATTTATTTTACAAAATTAAATGGAAATGAACTAAAATAAGGTA